GTAAGGACGTTAGCATGCTGCACAACTTTCATCACGCACATATTTATTATTATATGTCCTAAGTGTGAGTGCACACACTCACAACATGTTTAGTAACTTCAGATCCTGCAACAAGCCCAGCTCCAGTTTACTTTGGTGATTTGGACGATTCCATCTCACAGCTGTTGTTACAGGCCAACGCATCTATTTGTTGTTTCAGGTTGTAGTGTTACACAACATTTTCAGATCTAATAGAAATAAAATGAGTTTTCGTAATTCATTCAATTATTGTTTTTATTTATAACTGGCATTATTGTTTCATTCTATTATAGAATCTTACAGGAAAGAGGCAAAATTGTAAAAATCCATCAGCTTTATTAGTTGCTTCGTGAAAAACAAATCAACAATGCAACAAAAAAAAAAAAACATTACAAAACAACATACTGGAAAAGTTATTCATCATTGATTGCTTCAATACAACACTTGGGCACATATATGCGGGACGTTTCGATCTCGCTCTCTCTCTTAACCGATCAAATCGGGCTGTGGTAGCAGCTTTAAACTCGGTCTGACCCAGGCTGATAGAGGGCCCAGTCTGGATCACATTCCTGCATTTTGTAGGCTGGTTTTCCTACAAAACACAAACATTAGCCCGCAAAGCCACAGTGAACAAAGCAGCATAGCAACGAATTCAATTCAAATTAAGACTTATTTGTAACCTACATCAACAATTACAACAGCAGACTGACCTTCGTGTAAATGCTTGGAGCAGACTAACCTGTGAGTGTTCTGGGACGTTATATTTGGTCTTTGAATGGCTGCAATCCAGGCCATCCGTCGGCTCTTTGTTACTTCGGAAACATGGCTCGAACAATTTCTCTTCAACGATGTAATCCGATAAAAACGATCTCTTTACCCGTCGGCTTCCCGTGGCTGTCATGCGACCGGCTATTGCAGTTAATAATACAACAGCTTCGTACACTGGTACCGCTTGCCACTCTTACCCAGAATCCTTTGCAGTTTTACCACGGAAATGACGTCACATTTTCAATCTCTATTCAAAAGGTTTCTCCATGTAACGATCTGATAGTGGGTGTGGCGAGTCATAGCCCCGCCCACCAGGACATAAAGCAGGCTAATTCAATGACTGTAACATAACCTTCTAACGTGTGACTCAGTGTTTGTACCTGAAATAGATGGTGTAGTCGAGCCATCTAAGAGTCTGTTTTAGCATGTGTGTGGTACAGTTTTCATTAAATACTCTAAACAACTAATTTAAACAGGACTTATAATAGAAACAAAACATTCAATCACACCATTTATAATTAATGAGGTCAGTGTTTAGTCTTAGAGACGGTTTCCTTTGTTGATCAGAACTTTATTTGTCTTTGTTGTTGTTGTACCTTTTTTAGATATACAACTTGAATAATTCATCATTCCCATTTAAGGCAGGCTGGTGGTTGTACTCTCCCAGTCAGACCATGTGACCAGGCTGTGATGGTTTTGCCACAAACCATCGTTTTTTTTTCCTGCTGTCACAGAGCACCTCCTACAGGGAATTGTGTGATTGTTGGTTTCAGTCTAACATTCAGTTCTTTATGTTACAGCAAAATGTGCCTCAAGGAAACTGTTGTTTTGATTTGAAAAAATGGTAAATGGCCTGTATTTGTATAGCGCTTTACTCGTCCCTAAGGACCCTAAAGCGCTTTACATATCCAGTCATCCACCCATTCACACACTGGTGATGGCAGCTACATTGTAGCCACAGCCACCCTGGGGCGCACTGACAGAGGCGAGGCTGCCGGACACTGGCGCCACCGGGCCCTCTGACCACCACCAGTAGGCAACGGGTGAAGTGTCTTGGCCAAGGACACAACGACCGAGACTGTCGGAGCCGGGGCTCGAACCGGCAACCTTCCGATTACAAGGCGAACTCCCAACTCTTGAGCCACGATCGCCCCACTAAAACTAAAATTGATTTAAATTGTGTTAATTTTGAGGAACGTGCCTATCTTTCCTGGCTCTGGAAACATTGCTCTAGAGCAGCGGTCCCCAACCCCCGGGCCTCGGGGTCCGTGGGTTGGGGACCGGTCCGTGACTCATTTGGTACCGGGCCGCGAGAGTTCTTTTGTGGTGCTTTACAGTGACAACAGTGAAAGCTTTAGGAATGAGGATGGAAGTAACAGGCCGTCTCCATTTCAGGTAGAAAAACTGAAACAGGAAGTGGGCAAAAGAAACAGCTGGCAGAGAAAGGCGAGAGACAAATTTGTGGACTCGAAGAGGATGAAGGACTTGGAGCGACAGGTTTGGCACACGGGCATACACTAACAATTCATTTCTCCCTTCCTTCTTCTACAACTTCATATCACTTGTGTTTTCACCAGGTGAAGGAGGCTGGAACAAATACTCAGGAGCAGAAACCCAAATTCGCTGCCTGCTTTGATTTATGCTGCAGCCACATCTGCCAGCCACGAGGACGCTGGCAAAATGTCCTCTTCCGCCGGATCACTGCTCTGCTGGAGCGAAGGATCCAACGTCTGGAGGCCGAGCTGGAGAATCACGATGAGGAAGCCAAACGCAGCCTCCAGGTTATGGAGCAGCAGTTTCACAGAGTCAAGGTACAGCTAACATCAGTCCACAGGCTTGTCGATGTAACGACCTGCCAGCACTCCAGCTGGAAAGTAACAGCTGGGTGACTGTGAAGAGGACCCTAAACAGAAAGCCCCCGTCACACCACCGACCTGTTCACCCCCTTCCAGCTTGGGTTCAGGGGTCAAAACACTCTCAGCTTTTAAGATTGGGCTTAAACTTTGATAAAGCGTATAGTCAGGGCTGGATCAGGTGACCCTGCATCCAGCCTCGGCTGCTGGGGCGTGTTTATACCTTTTACAGCTGTCTGCTAGTGTGGGGTTTTGTCCTTTTTAAATGACAAAAATATGTTAATCACATCTTAATACCAAAGAAATAGGGCAGCCACCGTCTCTTGCTGGTCATCAGTAGAAGTCACTGAATCCACACTTTGTGATCACCACGTCTCCTCCTGCTTGGTGTGCTAGAAAAGCAAAGCAGAGCGACAAACAGACAAAAGCTTCATAGAGAACTGAAGCCCAAAGAGGAAGCCGTGTGACATAATAAGTTCAGTTTCAGTCAGTCAATGAGCTTCTTAACCGCACAGCTGTGAGACTAAACAGTAAAACCTTTATTTTTCTCCTTCACATGTCTGACTTACAGCAGATCAGTGAGGAAACGTGTGTCTGTGCTGAACCAACACTTTTAAATGTTCTTGCTGTGGAAGTACCGTATTTCCCGGACTACAAAGCGCACCCGAATATTAGCCGCACAAGCTAAAATCAGGGGAAAATCCTGTTTTGTACATACATTAGCCGCACCTGACTAAAAGCCGCAGGTGTTTCAATTTTGACTCATCATATGTAAGAGAATATGCACAAAGCGAATTGTCAGGAAAGAGACGGCTGTTTGGAGACATCACTTTTATTAATATTTTGAAAAACAAGTTATGGGTACATATTTGCACATGTGCTGTGCTTCATAAATGAGTAACAAATGTAGTACATAACAGTAACCTACAGCACACCAGAAAAATAGATCCGGCCTACCTTTTAGGCTCAGGTGCAGCGACACGGCTTTAACAAGAAGAAAAGTCAGTCATTCACCATCTTTCTCTTCTTCCTGCCACTAAACCACCAAAGTCCTCTTCTCCAGTGTCGGAAACGAACAGGCTCAGGATGGCTTCGTCATCCCTCTCAGCTTCTCTCCTTCGTTGTCACTTTCAAAACCAAAGAAATCCTCGTTGTCAGTGTCAGAGTCGAACACCCTCAGAAGGGCCGTGGCGGTGTCCTCCTCTTCATCATGCAGCAGTCCAGCCCTTCGAAATCCGCTGGTGATCGTGGATGTTTTCACACTTTTCCACGCTGTCAGAATCCACCGGTGGAGTTGAGCATAACTTGCTTTCGCAAGTTTATCGCCGCTGGTCATCCACGCCTCCCGCTGAACGCGTAGCGCTACTTTGAAGTTTGTTTTTCGCGCTACTTGTACGGCACTATGTTGCCTGGCGGATGGACATGTGACCAACATACCACTCTTGAACCCCGATCCTTCCGCCAGGCAACGTAGTGCCGTACAACAGCAGAACAAACAAAACAAATCCTCTTACGATATCACAAAAATCATGGACAATCCATAGAAAAGAAGCACCTGACTAAAAGCCGCAGGGTTCAAAGCTTGTGCAAAAAGTAGCGGCTTATAGCCCGACAATTACGGTAGTTTGATTCATCACAGTGAAGAATCACGTTTCAGACGTCTGCTTATAGTAGAGACTCCGTGTGTTTTATAGAAGTCTGTGTCAGAACCATTATTTCTGTGGTTTGTATCATTTAATGATGAAATGATCATTAAAAACATCAGATGAGGGAACACATGAACCAGTTCCTCTTGTAGCGCCTCGTAGCACTTAAAGCTCTTTACACAGCTCGTCTCAGTCACCTGTCCACAAGCTCAGTCACAGTGCTGTGGAGCAGCCAGGGGTTGAAGCACCATTAGCAGATAACTCAAGAGATGAGGCAGAGTGAATACATTATAATATTTTTCTGATTCAACTCCAGTTTCACTGTAGTAAAATCCCTCAGCAGCTGTGTGACAGCACTATGAGTCACTTACAGCACTGGCCATTTTGATTTCTGTGGAAAAACTGACGGACAGAAAGGTTTTATTTCAGTTTGGACTCTTGTCATGGACATGGACATATTCATTAGTGTTTTCAGAGCATTGTTTCATAAAGGACTGCAGCCTCTCTACTGTGGAGGATCTGAGTCTGTAGGCGTCGGCCTGCTTAGTCACACCCACTAGCCTGTCAGCTGCTGACTGGCTCAGTTTCCAGCTGTACCTGTTAACTGGTTTGTGTATCACTCACTGTTTATACGTAAAGTAGAAAGTGTGAAGCACATGTGGCTTGTTTCACACAGGGATCAGTAACAGTGTTCTTTGGTCGGTAGCTGCTTTTGATTTGTTGTTTCTTTGCTTGCAGTCACTGATGTACTGCGCTTGGTCCTGTATTATTAATTCCTCTTCATTAAGGACTGTTTATATATAACTTGTCACAGTTATTTAATCAAATTAGACACATTATAAAATCAAATACATTTTAAATCATGCTCACAAACTGAGTCTTAAAAACAAACAACCTGCAACAGTGTAGCAGATTTTTGGTCTGCTCTGCAGCTCCGCTATGAGCAGCAGATCTGTGAGCTGGAGCAGCAGCTGCAGCGTAAGCAGCAGCTTGAAGCAGCAGCTGGGTCCCAGTCACCAGTAGTCCAGGCTCTGGAGGAAGAGCTGTACCGTGTGAAGCAGAGCCACAAACAGAAGGAGAAATCTCTGCATGAGCAGATCGAGTCTCTCCAGCAGCAGCTTAAACAGAAGGTCAGTACAAGTCTTACTAAAAGCAAAGAGCTATTGTCTTAGCTGCCTCCAGATGCTAGAGCAGGCAGCCTTTGCCCTGAAACCTTGGAATAATGGATGAAGTAGGATAATGGAGGAGTTGATAACACAAAATAAACTTGTACTCGATTATACAATACTGAGGAGAGCCCTTCGTTTTACAGGCCCTGCTGAGTCCCGGCCGGCACCAGCGCCAAGCCGAGGCAGCATTTGGTGTGCGGCTTGAGCGGCTGAATCAAGAGCTCGCTAAAAAGACACGGACCATTCAGGAACTGAAGAAGGAACGGAGGAACATGCCGTCTGCCCCCAACACACGAGCAGAAAGACGATCCACTGAGAGCAAACACCAACAACCAGGTCTCCTCACTGCAGGAGGAGAAACATTCCCAGCTGCTCCGTGTGAGAAGACCTATCAGCCCACCGTATTCACAGGTGGGAATGCACTTTTTTAAAGTAAGTAATACACAAAAGGGACTAAAGATCACCTGATGCAATCAAAATATTTTGTGGTCACACTGTTTAATTCACTTTGATTTTATTTATTCAATTCCAAATCCCAACAAGATTCGCCTCATCGGGGACGAGAGCAGGGAGACGAGACTAAAGTCGTGCTGTGGAAGAGAGCCAAAGATTAATAACAACTCATAATGCAATGCAGAGTGCTGTATAAGTACATAGTGCGTGAAGGGGGCAATTTATGGTGTGCGTGTGTGTGTGTGTGTGACTGTTATTTGTCGAGCGATCCTTGAAAGTGGTTTACACACAAGTGTTGTTTACATATTCTAGACTTGCATCAGAAGGAAGAACATGCCCACATCGATCCCAGTGTGAACACTAACAGCAGGGATATAGAAGCGTCTATAAGCAGGGCTGTGGTTTTCCAGATTTAAAAAATGCAGCTAGCTGGAGGCACTAGAAGATTTTTTTCATGTTTCCTTCTGACAGGGAGTCATATCTCTGAGGTTCTGCAGGAGAACGAAGCTTTAAAAAAGCAGGTGGAGCTTGTGCTCCTGCAGAGCGAGCAGGAGAAGGAAGCTCTGAAGGCTGATGCTGCACAGGCCAAGCAGCAGCTGTGCAGGTACAGTTTTGTAGTTTTGCTTCTGTGTGCTTTCTGCTTGTTTCCAAATGCTTCTACTTGCACTTGCTGTTTAGGAAATGTTATACTTAAAGCAGTGAAGCAGACTGAATATCAAAGTTCATTTACAGTGTTGAATTTCTATCCCTGAGCCATAAAAGGCTGATGGGGAATATCACTGTCAACGTCAATACACAGGTGTACAACAAAGTGCCAACCACTGGTTATACTCGAGAACAAACAGTGTGTGGAGATGATACAGATCACATCATCTGTCAGGAAAACGGTGAAGGGGATGTCACGTTGGGGATGCGTGGCTGCTATTGGAACATTTGTGCTGCTGATGAATTCTCAGGAATATAAAGTTACACTCTCTTCAGATTCAGGCAAAGCTGATTGGACAGTGCTTCATAGTGCAAATAGAGACCCATCCTGCAAAGAAGCAGGATGTTCTTCAACAACCCAGCCAATCACCTGCTGCCCCTGAATTAAAGATATGATTTAATCTCCCAGGCTGACAGAGGAGTTTGAAGAGCAGCTATCCACTACGAAGGCAGAACACTTTAGAGTGTTGGACCACCTGCGGGCCACCCATGCACTCGAACACTCAGACTCTAAGGTTGCAGAACTGACTAATAAGCTGAGCACTCAAGAGGTAGGGCTCCCTCATCAAGCAGCCTCTGTACAACATGAGCCTGCTGCTTTAACATTCATATGTACCTGCAGATAATGATGAATCATCTGGACAAGCAGCTGAAAGAAACGCAGGGGTGCAAAGAAGCACTGAAAATATCCAGGAGGAGAGAGGATGCTCTGCAGACGCAGGTGAGGAGCTGTGCTGGCTCTATCCAGGATTGTACACAGAAAGACTCTGAATTATGGAATGCCAGGACTGCCAAAATGAATTAATGAAATACACCATTAAACAATTCATTAAATGTGTCAATAATTAATTGGAATTAATTAATTTAATTTAGCTGCTTCTGTCTCATGTTTAGCTAACCAAACTGCTGCAGGAGCTGAAGGAAGCTAAAGAAGCTTCAAGCTCAGAGGTGAAACTCCTGTGCACCTTGGAGAGGAAGATACTGAACATGGAGCTCAGACACCAGCACAGAGAGAAGGAGCTGCAGCAGGTACCAGTGAGGGCCCAACTAGCTGACAGAAACTGGAACCCAGAACCTGATGTGAACCTGTAGTGACCCCTAAGGTCAAGATTCAGGTGTTTTAAATCAGCGGTTGTGATAAACTTTGAACACAGGCTTGGACATCCACGGTGGGTGATCCCCTGAACTAACCACGTTCAAACAAAAGCAGGTCTGGATCCACATTGTCAGCGTAAATGAAACTAACTTGAACTAGTGGCAAACTTGTACGAAAACGTAAGCTGACCTGAATGTTATGCTGTAAATGACTTTAAACGTCTCCTGGACTCTGGGAAACCGTCTGCGAGTCACACAGACATCGGAGTTAGACACACTGCTGAACCTGTGGCCAAACATATACACTGTTTGGTGGAGAAGCTTGTGCACTTCCCCTGATGATATTATCCACATAGAGGTCAGATGAAGTAGTTCTACTGTATCAAATACAACCTGAGGTCTTTTGTTTGTGTCCTTCAGGTGCTTGGGGGGCGTGGCAGACGCCAGGTGATGATTTGCAGTCTGAGCTGGAGCACTGGAGACGTCTGGCTCAGGACAAGAGCAGGGAGATGGATGCTTTCCGCCTTGAGCTCGACGCCATCCTGGACATCCTGAGACATCTGCAACGACAGGGAGCGGTTCTGCCGACTCCTGAGCTCGCCATTCCACAGAGGAGTTAATACAACGTTTGAAAGCTGAGACTGTGAATGCTGCACTGATTCCATGCCAGTGTGTCAGCAATAGAAGCTTTTACTTGTTATTTAAATAACTATTTTTATATTTTTCATGTTAATGGTTTATTAGGATCAGTATTGCACCAAAGACCTGCAGAGACTGGCTTACCATCCCTGCCTCCACAGAGGAAACAGTCGTGTAAAATAAAGAAACCTCTCGAACATCATTTTGTTTTTTGACTGTTTTACATGTCTAGATATGACAGCAGGGCCTGCAGATAAAAGTAATATACTTGATCACAACCACAATATGAACACATATTTAAATATTCTGCAGTAAATGTTCTCCTTATGGCCCCGGTGTGAGGTGGAGGCCAAGTCTCAGCTAACACTGGCCGGCTTGGTTAGCAGCCTGCACCCAAGCATGGCTGCTGCGCAACATGCCCGTCAGTTGTTATCCTCTGCAGGTGTTTTTGATGGGACTCACATCAGAGTCTCAATTCTTCATCTCTTTCCTCTGTTTCAGTGCCTTTGCAGGTCAACTACATGCCAGACTTTGTAATAAGAAATCAGCTCCAGATTCAACTTATAGATCCAATTTGTCTTCATTATCAGATTTTCCATCTTCTTGGATTCTTTGCACAGTTTGGTGGTCCTACATGAGTTGGCAATATAATTAAACCCATAGCGGTGAGAAAGGTTTTTTGTTACAGTCATTTGTCAGACTCTTACATATCTATAGCAGCAGAGTCATTGAATCAGAATTTGAAACTCCTGGTTCTGAAGACTTCATGTACATGCCGTTTTCCTTGTGATCACTCTTTCAGTTAAGTACAGAAAAGTGCAGCGAGTAGCCATATTTAAGTCTACTATAAAATCTTCAAGCGAGCAAATACATTAATCATCGATTCATGCTCAAGCCACTGACGAGGAATGCTGTCAAACCTGATGTCACTGAGTGAAATACGGTGTACAACAGTCTGGCAGCTGTGCGCCCATGTGGGACACAGATTACAATCAGTCAATTACAGACACTACTGATCTTAACTTGTGTTTAAAGCACGCCGCCTGTCTTCAGAGTCAGTTTCTTCCGCTCCAGCTTCTCTACGACCATTGGAAAAACCAAAGAGCTGTCAAAAAATGTCAGGAACGAGGCTGTGGACCTGCACAAGACCAGCAAGAATACTGAAGATTGTCGTGGTCTTCCAACTTGACAGTGATTGCCAACATACTGCCAAGGCAACAAAGGAGCGGCCGAGCCAGTCTCCAGGCCTCGGTACTCAGGAGGGAGCTGAACTTTCTTGTTGTTTAGCAGCAGCCAAGAAAACTACAGGAGTTTCTATAAAGAGGGTGGAACAAACTCCTTCCTGAGATGTGTGCAAACCTGGTGACCAGTTACTGCTGTGCTTCGAAAGAATCGTTTTTCCATCAAGTGTTAAGTCATGTTGTGCTTGGTGTGATATAATATTTATTTCACTCATGACATGAAAATCTATTTAAGTTTTTTTCTGTTCTTTCTGGATACTACCATGAAATTTGTGACTGTTCGTTTCTTTTGTATGTAAGTGAACTTAAAGCAGGGGGTGAAATTAATAACTGACAAAAATACTGGAGCCTTTACTATGAACTCCTGTAAGCTCCTGGCACTTACTGCGCTACAACCAGGAGGTTTTTGTGTCGCCAGAAGTTCAGAGGTCTGTGTTATTGTGTCAGCGGAGCACTGGCAGCTTTTACACTTTATGCATCTCAGGACGTCTCTGACACCTGGCTGCCACTTTGTGGATGAGTTGCTGAATATTTTGTTTTGGAGAAAATACGTTAGATCACGAACACAAATTCTCAACTTTGTTCCAGCAGTTATCTACAAACTTCTAGGTTCTCATAATTTTGCATCTCTTTGTGTTGGAGCCTGACTCTCTCAGATGAAATGCATTTGTGTGATAAAGGATGTGCTGGCTTTAAACTGACCGACCGACCCCGTGTTCATTAACACTGTTTTAAACTGGTAAACATAAGACTTCAAAAAGAAGAGGGAGAAAAAGTTATTTAACATCAATAACATAAAATCATGTGAGATGAGAGAAGGATTCTCTCAATTACACTGCAAAGGCATTCTTAATATAGTGTTAAACATCAGTTTAGAAAAACACCCAAAAAACCGTGCTAGATGTCTCTACCTGACTGGACTACTGTGTTTGGACACTGGATGTGCCATCGTTGAGCTTCGTATTGTAGGCAGTGAAGGATGTCCCAATTTAGAGGTTCATCCAAATACAGCCTACAAATGCATCCTACATTTCCCAGGATTGGAACGATGCACCTGCTGGATCCTTTGTTGCTTTATTATTCGTTTTTGAAGGCGTTGCACGGGTTAGCACCCTCACACCTTTCTGGTCTTTTTAATTGGTGCACCCCAAAGAGCTCACTTGGGGGTACGGCTCAAATGCTCCTGTGCCGAGGTCCAGATTAAAGCACAGAGGAGATCGGGCCTTTGCTGTAACTGCTCCTTCACATCAGGACCTCCCCAACATTGGACTCTTTTTAAACCCACTTTTTGTTCCTTGGCTTTTAAATCAGAAAGAGTTTGTATGACTTTTATTTGTCTCATTTCTTACTTAAATCTTCTCTTTTTATGCTTCTTTTTCTTAAATGTTATCATTTCTTCCTATATTTTTATCTCTTGATTACCTTAAATGTACACCCCCTTGGTCAACAGTCGCTGTTTTAAATGTGCTACATAAATAAATTTGACTTTGACAGGATCAGGGCATGCTCCTAATGAGACGACAGTGTCCTGGGGCATTTCCCCCCCACGTCTCGATGGTCATTGCGAGCTCCCGGGCAGTCTGAAGTGCAATCTGCCACATGAGGCCAGGCATTGTTGGGCTCAGGCCCGATATGTAATGGCAGTCAGGTGCTTAGCCTGCAGAGGTCTGTGCCTTCCTCTGGAGGAGTCCTCAGACCAAACCGTTCATCTGCACGATGTTACGAGCAGCATAATGTTCTCTATGGTCTGTGCAACGTCAGAACTACTTCATGGCACCAGTAGTGACGCTGACCCCAGCTGCCTACAGCAGCCCAACAATAATGTTCAATGGAAAACAATATTAGTCTGACAGTAGTGTTAATGTAGTGTTTGCTCTTAACACATGATGTCGTCCCCTGTGTTAGAGAGCGGCTTGTCAGAGGGACCTATTAGTGTGTCGCACAGCAAACGAGAGCCTAAACTCAATAACAGCTCTCGTGAATAAACTACCTGATCTCCTGAATCCCGGGAAGGTTATGAAGATTAGTAATCAAAACTAAGACGGCTTTGGATTAGACTGTTTTATTGTCACTGAAAACCACAATACTCAAACTATGACACAAAGTTTGGTATCTAATGTGAAGTGGAAACGATATAACATTATTGTCCGGAGTAACGAACATGAATGAAAGAGAAGCCTACAGAGTAAATATGTACATGGATTCACAGTATTTGCACAATGTTATTTTTGTGTGCTTGTGTGTGTTTAGGGTTTAAAATGTGAGGACGGTGTTCCTGAGCTGGTTGTTTCTGGATCAGAGGTTCCTGAACCTCGTTCTTCCCAGAGGGAAGCAGGGAGCACAGACTGTGGTCTGGATGGGAGGATGATGTTATGAACCTTCTGCATAATGTGTTTCCAGGTTGTGTCTGCGATACGGGGCAGCTGAGCACCACACTCGGTGGAAATGCTTTCATTTATCTTTACAGTGTGCAGTGAGATGCCCATCTGCTACAAAACAGCCAATGTTAATTCACCACCGCTCTTATTAATACATTTTACACACGAGTTTTGTGCTGTGAATGAATTAAAATAATGCAAGATTAGAAATGTTTCACCTGGTTTAACCTCTATGTACTGTTAACTGTAACGTTTGCATTCAGCTGCAAACACAGTGTTTGTATCCACACATGTGTAGAGGAGATGTTAGTTATTCTTTTCAGTATCAGTGCAGGTGTGAAGCCTGCTCTGGCTTTATTGATCCGGATTTATTTTAATGGACCTCAGAAAATCTGGTGTCAATTTATTTTTCCACAAGTTCAAGATTGTTTGTTCCAGCTGAAGCTACAGGCTGCCCTTACAAAAAATGCAAGTTTGAAGCCTTATGTTAAAGGAGAGCAGTTTCCCTGAACCCAGACTGTGAGCTGGCATTACTGATATGACACAAACACAGAGCTGTGGTGTAGCTCGCACACTAATGGAATCTGCTGGATTCATTTTTGTTGCAGCTACATAGCACATCACGTTGTTCTGTCTGCAGCCTGAATGTCTTTGTTGCACAATTCGAGGGTTGTGTTATCACACTGCAGGAGCAGAGGAGCCATGCTGGGGTACTTGGCGTGACTGTAACAGTGGATGTGCGTCCCTGACTGATAAGTCATGTTAGGTGACCAAGTATTGATGAAGTTTACCAACTGTAATGTAAACGATGTTTTCTAATTGTATCCACTGACAGTATTATACCCATTCAAGACATGCATGCAGCATGGGCTAGACCCCAAATGCTAGCTAAGCCTAACTACTGGCTTAGACGTCACCCAGCTTAACAAGGTCAGGTGTTGGGAAACCAGAACAGGACAGATGAGAAGCTGCCTACACGGGTAAGGACAGGAAACATGGAACTGATGTAACACGGCTACGCCAGCGAACCCACTCAGAGAGGTTATATGCATAAATGTGATGACTATGAACGGGCAAAGAACCAAGAAACACCTGGTAGCTCAGTGCTAGAACCTTTTGAAACCGAAGATCCAGATACTGCAGCCCAATGGGAACAATGTGCACCAACTATTGTGGGAGGAGCTAAAGGTAAATGGACTGGTTCTAATATAGCGCTTTTCTACCCAATCTGAGCACTCAAAGCGCTTTATACAACTTGTTCATTCACCCAATCACACCAGCACGTTTCTAGGCTTCCAGTGATACCTAACATTCACACCCCGATGGATGCGCTGAAGAGCAACCTGGGATTAGTATCATGTCTTCTGGTTAGTAGGTGACCCGCTCTACCACCTGAGCTACAGCCACAGGTCGGCACTGCTGAGGCCTGTATTATGTAGCAATGAGTTTGATATGATCAAAGCAAACCTTTGAATTTAGCCTGAGCAACGTTTTTAAAGCCCCGGGAAAAGGCTGCTTTACTGGCACTGTGACCAGGCGGTGGTGCCACCATACCATGCTAGGAAGCACGTGGCGCTCATTAGAGTTTTCTTTTTGATAGTTGGAAAAATCTCCTTCTGTTGCAACACTTTTCTTTAGCAGGCAGAGATACTCCTGGGACATTTCATTGTTAGTAACCTTCTACTCTCGTAGCTGTGTGGCATAACATCCTGCAATGTGAACTCTGTGTTATTGCAGGTCTTTACCTTACAATATAAAGCACCTCGCAGGGATTGTTGTGATTTTAACACTTTATAAATGAAAGTGAATTAAAAACTAGAGGCAGGTGATGAGGTTCTGTCAAGGCAGAACTGAAGGTGCAGTGTGTTTATAAAAATCAGCAGGTTGGACTCAGGCTGAGGTGTCACTGGCTGTTCACTCCTCAAAGCATTCAGGTGAGCAGCAATTAAATATGCCCAGTGAGCGCAGGTTACCTCACTGACGAGGTTAAGAGCAGCTTTAAGCTAAATGAGCTGGAGTAGGCATTAAGGCCATGTACACATGATAGCAAACTGAAAAACATATATATATATAGCAAATGTTTTTCAGTTTGCTATCATGGTGTGTCACGTGTAGAATTTTGAAGTGAAAAACAAATTGAATGTATTTTGGAATAAGGCTGGATCATGACAAATGCTGAATGAATACTTTCTGGATCCACTGTATCTGAAACAGTACTAGTGATATTTCTCTTTATTTATATGACGTTCCTCAGAGCACCTCAAACGTATCAGCATCATCAAGTTCTCGATGCATAGAAACACAGTGTTCCCTTCACGTCAACCCTGGAAGGCGTGGAGCTCCTGCTCACTGAAGCCCTGATGCTTCAACAACCTACAAGAAGAGCACACAGGAAAGGAGGTCAACACAAAGCTGAGTCAGTTCACGCTACACATGGAAAATGTTCTCAGTGTGGTGTTGTTAGGCCCGTGCAGCTGAATGTTTTAAAAAGATTTCAGGTGGAAAAATATGTGCCATTAATTACATCAAGTCCTTGGAAAAAAAAGAACAATAGAGCGCGGAGCTGAGGCAGTTTGGCCTTTGAATTTATAACACATTTATTATTTAATGATCATATAAAATCTGAGACTTTGCCGGAGTCTATGTGAACATGCTCGCTGCCTGTTTCAATGATATTTCTAGGACGTATCACATGACTGTATTGGCGCTCTTAAATGCTGTGATTGCACACCAAGTGAAACAGTGCAGTCAGTCGAACAGAACATAGATCTCCGTGAGGATGGCTTTTAAATAAAACACTTTGTCAGAGCAGCAGTGCGGTTGTGTTACCTACCCGAGTGTTAGCTCTGTGAAGGCTGCAGGGCCACAGACACACACGTAGCATTTGGACCCATCAGGCCTGGACAGCAGCTCAGTAAGGATGGGCTCGTTCACCGGACCTTTCCGGCCGGTCCAGCGTTCACTGGGCTCAGAGAGGACATGCTCCACCTGAAACCTAACACACAGCAAACGGAAGACGAGACACGAGAGCCATTTTACATGTAGACATGTCTCCACAGCCATTCACTTCAGTTGAGAAGAGTTATTTTTCTGACACACCGGCTTATTGAAGCTCCAAAGGCTAAAACAAATATTGAACCAGCTATCTAAATTACATTTAACAGGACTGGCCTAAACTGGTTACTACTCCTCTCCTCATCGTCTCTCTTTCTCTGCATTTTCTTTTTCTTTCTTAGAGCTCGGGTTCTTTTCTACCGATGACTCCACCCTGCCGTTTGTTCACATGCACCACCTTAGAGGCTTGTTGTTAACACGACCAACAGTGTGAGGCCCTCCCCAGGCACACAGCTCCTATACCTGCCGTTATTAGCAGCCAGTTCATCCAGTTCAAAGCGCCAAAGAATGTCCTCTTCTCGTCGGTTAAAAAAGAGCAGCTTTGTGTTTCTGGAGACACACAAACATGTTGTAGGTTATGAAGCAAGCAGCCAACTGAAAAACACTACGACTGTTTTCTCAAACTAGTGTCAAGAGCACAGGGAGTTCACTGGTAAAACACCAGAGGTCACAGTGCACACAGAGCATCTAAGAACACAGTGTCAGAGCCTCAAACAAAATATAATCAACCACCCACACATGACAGACAGATGTTGCATCCAAACACTTTGGTTTTCATAAAATGATCAGGTTTGTGCAAACGTATTTGTTGTCTTGTTGGATTTGTAAGAATAAATCAAAGATGGTGAGTGGGTGTGAGATACTAAAGCTGTTGCACAGCTAACCAGATCCTTCAAGCACTCTGAAGTATTGATGGGAATCAAGAACCGGTTCCCAGAAGTCTAATTCCTTGTTAGTTTGCTTGTCTATCCATCCCACAGTTCCCCTTGCACTTCATAGTGCCACAGTCTTCAGAGTGGATGGACATGACTTTTATTTCTATAAAAGGAGTGCAAACTGCATCCACAGCAGCTGCATCATGCTGCTAACGCAACTTTAGAGCTTTGCAAACATGCTAATGCTAATCTAGCCAAAAACCCAGCGACGTTAAAGCTGAGTGAGGCGGCCCAGCAGACACACTCTAAGTTTCAACAGTTAACATGAGCACTGATGAGCAGTCAGCCTCCGTTTCTACAGTACTATCACCATGGCAACCACTTTCATCTTTGCTTCGTGGTCACACCTAAGTACTAAGAGAAAGATGACGTGTGTCCTCATTAGGACAGATCAGTGTTGGTGTGTGGGGCTGTAGCTTTATGTGTTTAAATGGTGATTATCACACAGTGTGTTTCAGTGCGTTTTGGAAAAATGCAAAAACGGTGTAAAAAGTAGTGAAACAAATTCCTGGAAGGTAACGTACGGCACTACATTTAAGAAAAGTGACCAATAAGTAACTTTTTTGAGCAGTGAAACCCAAAACTGATCACAACAAAGACGGGAAATATCTCCAGTACGCAAACATCTGTATGGAACGCCAGGACTGCCATAATGAATTAATTAAATACACCATTAAATAATTAATTAAATGTGGCAATAATTAATTAAAATTGGAATTAATTAATTAAATAAATAGTTATGACACATGTAATTAATTAATTATTGACACATTTAATTAATTATTTATGTATTTCACATTTTAATTAATTATTGACACATTTAATTAATTAATTATTGACACATTTAATTAATTATTTATGTATTTCACATTTTAATTAATTATTGACACATTTAATTAATTATTGACACATTTAATTAATTATTTAATGATATATTTATTTATTTCATTTTGGCAGTCCTGACGCCTGGCTCTCGTCATGAAATAATTTTATCTGTCAGCCTCACCCATCAAACTCAGGGGCGGGGTTAACGCTGCCCATGCAGCTTCTCTAACATTTGATTGGTTGCCGTGCAAAGTAAGTCAAAACAGGTCGATCCTAGATAATCGATTGCTTGTGTAGACTTGGGGCAGCCAGTTATCCCAGAATGCAGATCAAATCACAGGCCGTTTTTCTGTCACCAGCTACACTTTTAACAGTGTTTTAGCCGCGAATGTCGCGACGTATGTCTGGTCAGGTTGTCAACATAGAACATGTTTGCAAAAGTGCTCAGATGTTTTCAGAGATTTCACTAGCTCTGCTAACAGTTAGCATGCAGAGCGCACCGAGGGGGTACATTAACCGGTTTGTTTACATATTCCACTCTCCGTGTTCCACATGTTGCATTCGCAGATTCTCATTTTCACCGAACGATCGTCTCTTTCCGCCTGGTCTTGTGTCTCTGTGCTTCTGTAACATAAAGAACGAGCTGACATTTTTCTCACGAAACCAGCGATCAGCTCAGCAGACCCTCAGTTTACCTGCATGCATCCTCCTCCTCATCTGTCAGCTGTTTAACACCTGCTGATAATTCAAGAAACACGCCTACGTTACCTGGTGATAGTCACAGTTTAACTGCACAAGATAAGTAAATATAGTATTTTCCCCGAGCGCAGAGCTGCTGGAGCTTGTTTCCTTACAGAGCACTTTATAGGCGAACCAGCTTTATCAGCGGCTGATGTCCAATCACCGGCACACAGCTTTCAAACCTCAGCTGAGTTTTAGCTCTCAGTGGTTAAACGCTGGACTTCATTCACTCAGGTTCTGTCTGTCGGGTCACGTTTACTTCGCTGTTTTATTTACAACTGAGCAAATCGGTTTGGCTGAGGTTAAAGTTACGTTTCATAACTGCATAGTTTCACAGACGTTTAATGGTTCACTGGCACATGTGTTAGACTGAACTATCATCTAAATATCATCTGTTTTTTAATAGTTATTCAACTGTATTCTAAGCACCAGCTGTCTGTTAGAATGTGATTTTTTTTCTCTCTCTGTTGGCAGACGTATAAAAATGCGCAGGAAAATCTGACATGCATGGCGAACTTCACCGACGATATTTAGGGAGGAATAAACACACATCAAACATAAATGAACCATTTGCCTGTCTCCATAATTGAGAGCATTTTCTCTTCTTATGTCAACACTCTCTCTCTCTCTCTCTCTCTCTTTTTTTTTTTTTTTTTTTTTTTTTTTTTGCTTTTTCGGTCATGTTATGTTTACCTGTCAAAGGCTTGTTACAAACTATGAAACACATTGTGCAGACTTCTGGATGTTAGAAGAAAACGAATACTGCTCATGAATGAGACTAAAGGCAGGAAGGTGTCCTTTAAAACTAAACATGTTAATAGGACCTCCCTGTTTATATCATAGTTTATGATATAGCACGTGTATTTCAGTAATAGCCTGCTGAGGCCACTATACGTGCTGGCCTCATATCAAATGTGAAGGCAGACTGAGTCTATGTTTGACGTTTGTTTATATCTAATCTTCCTTTTCAAACATTTAAACAGCAGCGAGTCTGCAGCTGAGGGAATACAAATTCAAATTGTCGGAACAGGTTTGCTCGTTTCTTGGATTCATTTGGTGATTTATTAAATGTATAACTGTGTGGTGGGGCGTGGTCTGCGGTGCCGTGCAGGGAGGGCGGACGCACCTGCACGGCATCCTTAATCACGCCCGCCTAGTTAAAAACACGGGGACTGAGGGGTTTGGGGTGTTGTGGTGTGGTGAGATGTAAATAAAGATGACTCTGAACGTTGCTCCGTGGTCCCGCCGTGTCTTATTCACGCCACATTGGTGCCGAAACCCAGGAGGCAGCACGGCGGGTCCATATCGGAGCCAGGGAATGGAGGAGCTGGCCCAGAGGGTGGCCGAAATGGCGGCCGCCCAGCGGGAGCAGGCGGCGGAGGTGCGTCGCCAGCAGGAAGAGCTGCAGGACCAGTCCGAGCGGCACCTGGAAAGGATTGGGGAGCTGGCGGCGCTGCTCTGGGCCTGGGCGCCACCCCCACAGGTGTGTCCCGAGGACAGTGAAGCGGTGGAGGAGCCGCGTGAGGCACCTCAGCAGCCGGAGGTGGCAGACGAGGCGCGCGGGGATCTGCGCCTGCCGGAGGAGGGGGAACAGCCAGGTGAAGGGCTGCTCCTGCCGGGAGTGGTGGATGAGCCGCTCCAACCGGAGGCGGCAGACGAGGTGCGCGAGGGTCTGCGCCGGTTGGAGAAAGAGGAGCTGCACGAGGGGCTGCTCGAGCCGGGAGTGGCGGCGGAGGGAGCAGTAGTGACGGAGGAGTCGCGCTAAGGGCTGCTCCAGCAGGGAGCGACAGCGGTGACGGAGGGGCCGCGCAAGGAGCTGGAGGTCCCAGTGCCAGGGGAGCTTGCTCGAGTGGAACTGGCGAGCGAGGCGGGCGCCACGCTTGAGATCGCCGTGCTCGCCAGACCGGCCTCACCACCACCAGAGGCCTGTACACGCCACACCTCTGCCCAGCCACCTGTGAGCTGGGGCTCACGCTTGTGCCGGCTGCGCCGGGTGCACCTGTCACGTGTCCGACTTCCGAACCAGCTTTGCCTGCGCCGCTGATTCGCGGGCGGCCGCCTGAACTCGCACCTCCCCGTCGCTTGGCCGGGGCCTGGGGGTGCCAGCTGTCCGGGCTGATTCCCTCTCCCACTGGCGGTGGGGGAGTAGGTTCGGCCGGATGGCTCCCCGGCCTCAATCGGGCGATGGGGGTATGTGGTGGGGCGTGGTCTGCGGTGCCGTGCAGGGAGGGCGGACGCACCTGCACGGCATCCTTAATCACGCCCGCCTAGTTAAAAACACGGGGACTGAGGGGTTTGGGGGTGTTGTGGTGTGGTGAGATGTAAATAAAGATGACTCTGAACGTTGCTCCGTGGTCCCGCCGTGTCTTATTCACGCCACAAACTGTTATTCTAATCTGCTGCTGAGTCTCTTACACTTTTCTTTATGCTGTATATTTTCACGTCTCTGGAATAGTTGGCAGTTAGATAGTCAGCTGGGAAACTTTGTGTTAACTCATGGAGCTGAGGATATCGTGGATATGCTGACCTCGCTGCGTGGTGTACAGAGCGAGGTCAGCATGATTAATATTCACAATAAAAATATTAGCCGAACATCATGAAGTCTGTATGTGTTTCATAGTGTCGAACAACCTTTGTACAGTTAAAGCCAGCAGTTACTACATGACGGAAACACCAACGTTATCTCTTTTATGTGTTTATACACAGGTCACGCTGATTACTGAACAAAAACCCAAAGATCAGATGTTAAACAGATTTATTTGCTCTCTCTCCTCCTTAAACATGTTTTTAATGTTAGTTATAATTCAGAATTGGCGACTGAAACACGTAGGACACATAAGAACATCAGGAAATAAAACATCGATAAATATAACCTCAGTAAAAGAAGTCAGCGGGGGTTACTACAGCTGTGTACCGGGGCCTGCGCTTTGTCGGTGGGATTGCTTGCGAGGCGAGCGGGTCTATCCCACGCTTTGCCGTGAGACTGGGCAGACATCTCCGAAATCATCGAAACACTTTTGCAAAGAGGCTGTATCTTGACAAACCGACCAGACACATGAAGATTAAACCACTACATTCTCGGCTAAAAAAATATTAAAACGGTATTTGGTAACACACAAACAGGGTTTTTCAAAGCTCAGTTCTGTTAGCTTCCACATGCCGGTTGTTGTGTGCTAGAAACAATGGCCACCAGGCCAAAGCAATGGTTTTGACTCGATCAGCGTTAACCCCGCCCCCTGAGTTTGATGGGTGAGGCTGACAGATAAAATTATTTCATGATGAGAGCCAGGCGTCAGGACTGCCAAAATGAAATAAATAAATATATCATTAAATAATTAATTAAATGTGTCAATAATTAATTAAATGTGTCAATAATTAATTAAATGTGTCAATAATTAATTAAAATGTGAAATACATAAATAATTAATTAAATATGTCAATAATTAATTAATTAAATGTGTCAATAATTAATTAAAACGTGAAATACATAAATAATTAATTAAATGTGTCAATAATTAATTAATTACATATATCATAACTATTTATTTAATTAATTAATTCCAATTTTAATTAATTATTGCCACATTTAATTAATTATTTAATGGTGTATTTAATTAATTCATTATGGCAGTCCTGGCGTTCCATACATCTGACCCACAGCATGCAATGAATGAATGCAGGAATGTAAGGTCTTTGCAAGTCATCTTTTTTGTTTGTTTGTTTGTTCCTTCTTTTTGTTTGTTTGTTTGTTTCTTCCTCTTGTTGTTTCCTTCTCTTGTTCTTTGTTTGCTTCTCTTGTTGTGTTTCCTTCTCTTGTTGTTTGTTTGCTTCTCTTGTTGTGTGTTTGTTTGCTTCTCTTGTTGTGTGTTTGTTTGCTTCTCTTGTTGTGTGTGTTTGCTTCTCTTGTTGTGTGTTTGTTTGCTTCTCTTGTTGTGTGTTTGTTTGCTTCTCTTGTTGTGTGTTTGTTTGCTTCTCTTGTTGTGTGTTTGTTCCTCTTGTTGTGTGTTTGTTTCCTTCTCTTGTTGTGTGTTTGTTTGCTTCTCTTGTTGTGTGTTTGTTTGCTTCTCTTGTTGTGTGTTTGTTTGCTTCTCTTGTTGTTTGTTTGTTTGCTTCTCTTGTTGTGTGTGTGTTGCTTCTCTTGTTGTGTGTTTGTTTGCTTCTCTTGTTGTGTGTTTGTTTGCTTCTCTTGTTGTGTGTGTGTTTGCTTCTCTTGTTGTGTGTTTGTTTGCTTCTCTTGTTGTGTGTTTGTTTGCTTCTCTTGTTGTATGTTTGTTTGCTTCTCTTGTTGTGTGTTTGTTCCTCTTGTTGTGTGTTTGTTCCTCTTGTTGTTTGTTTGTTTCCTTCTCTTGTTGTTTGTTTGTTTGTTTCTTCCTCTTGTTGTTTCCTTCTCTTGTTGTGTGTTTGCTTCTCTTGTTGTGTGTTTGCTTCTCTTGTTGTGTGTTTGCTTCTCTTGTTGTGTGTTTGCTTCTCTTGTTGTGTGTTTCTTTCCCTTGTTGTGTGTTTCTTTCCCTTGTTGCTTCTTTCTCTTGTTGCTTCTTTCTCTTGTTGTTTGTTTCTCTTGTTGTTTGTTTGCTTCTCTTGTTGTTTGTTTGCTTCTCTTGTTGTGTGTTTGCTCCTCTTGTTGTGTGTTTGCTCCTCTTGTTGTGTGTTTGCTCCTCTTGTTGTGTGTTTGTTCCTCTTGTTGTGTGTTTGCTTCTCTTGTTGTTTGTTTGCTTCTCTTGTTGTGTGTTTGTTTCTCTTGTTGTGTGTTTGTTCCTCTTGTTGTGTGTTTGCTTCTCTTGTTGTTTGTTTGCTTCTCTTGTTGTTTGTTTGCTTCTCTTGTTGTTTGTTTGCTTCTCTTGTTGTGTGTTTGTTCCTCTTGTTGTGTGTTTGCTTCTCTTGTTGTGTGTTTGCTTCTCTTGTTGTTTGTTTGCTTCTCTTGTTGTTTGTTTGCTTCTCTTGTTGTGTGTTTGCTCCTCTTGTTGTGTGTTTGTTCCTCTTGTTGTTGTTTGTTCCTCTTGTTGTTTGTTGTCCTCTTGTTGTTTGTCCTTCTCTTGTTGTGTGTTTGCTTCTCTTGTTGTTTGTGTCCTTCTCTTGTTGTTTGTTTCCTTCTCTTGTTGTTTGTTTCCTTCTCTTGTTGTTTGTGTCCTTCTCTTGTTGTTTGTGTCCTTCTCTTGTTGTTTGTTTGCTTCTCTTGTTGTTTGTTTGCTTCTCTTGTTGTTGGTACATTGATTTATATAAATGAATGCACTTACTGATCAGCACTGAATACAAAGGTGTCACTTATGAGCGCTGCTTCTGAAAGTTTGCTCCTACCCGATGGTTTCGATGTCTTCGAGGGCCGCACGGATGAGACGAGCCATGGGCGTGAAGCCTGTGCCTGCAGCTATTAAGTAGAGGTTTGTAACATCACGAAGAGGGCGGAGACTGAAGGTGCCTTCTGGACCACTTACGGCCACACGGTCACCTAGAAGAGTAAACGCGTCATTATTACAACAGTTTCCACAGATTAAACACCTTCATCAAATCAAAATTCAGAACATTATTTACTGTTCGATGGCGAGTTGGTCGCGTTATTGTGCCGCACGTGGAAAAGCACACATTGGTTTTTTCATTGTACTTTTGTTTGTTACAGGTTAAGAGAGAGAAGTCACTGGACCTCATCCATGTTCCCACCCTGGGAGCTGCTCCCTGAATGTGACTCACCGACACTCAGGCTGCTGAGGTGTGGGGTGAACGCTCCACCAGGGTAGACTTTGATCATGAGGTAGAGGTCTGATTCCTGTGACCCGTTCTTAGAAGCTGCTGGAAATATGTGCTCCACTGGAGTGTACGGCCTCACTACCTCCACGTCTGCATGTAGATAACAAACAGTAAGATTTACAGCTGTGCCCGTCTCGGTGATGTCACACTCCCAGAAACAGTCCAAGGTCAGAGCTGTTTCTGTCTGTGATTCGCTGCCATTGAAATAATCAAACTAATATCAGCATTTTACTAACTGACCTGTCATCACTTATCTAGCTGTGCTCATTTTTAACTATAGTAAGGCTTAGAATGAGACTGGTGGAAACAGTTGTCACAAAAATGCGCAGTGATGTAAAAAATCCTTACATAAAAGTTAGAAATCACATATGAATTGAATTATACACATTTGCAGGTCACTGAGTAAAATAAGTAGCGATCCCCTACAACCCAGCCACACAAAGGCTGTGCGCTACATCATAATGAACCGATGAGTCAGATACTCCTGAAGTAACAACCAGAGAGCTGTGACAGGACATCAGGACTGCAGACTCGGGAGTGGAAGAGCACAAACCCTGAGATGTGTGCAAACCTGCTGACCATCTACTGTTGCCAACAAGAGGCTCTCCACCAAGTGCAAGGTCATTGTGGCGGAGGCGTGGCCCCGGGCGCAGCTGCAGGGGAGGAGTGGAGCGGAAGGCTCAACGGGCGGCGCCGCGAGGCTGGTAAGAACAGCTGATATTGTTTATGGACTAATGATGGTCTCCTCCGCTGTGTTTATAGTGAGACGAGGAGGAGCGGCCAGAGGAGATCAGCTGGGCTCGAGCTGTCAGACGGTGCGACTGAGTCAGCTGTCAAAATACAAATATATCAATAAACGAGGAAGTTGGCTATACCTGCCTGTGTGTGCGTGTGTCTGTGCTGGGTGTACTCTACAAGTGGTGCCGAAACCCAGGAAGAGTGCCGGTGGGGACATGTCCGACCCACAGGCCACGCCACCCGCCCAGCCTCTGCAATTCTTGGCGCAGATGCTGGCGGAGATGGCGACGATGAGCCGGGATCAGGCGGCCGACCAGCGTGCCCACCTGGCCGCGCTGCGGGAGCAGACGGACCGACAGACGCAAGTTCTGGAACGGCTGGTCGGGGCCGCTGCCGCGCCGAAGCCCTTGCCGCTGTCGGTGTCGGTGCCCCGGATGGGGGACGGGGACGACCCACAAGTTTTTTTGGAGACCTTCCGGGCCACGGCGGAGGCTTGCCAATGGCCGCGGGAGGAGTGGGCTCCGCGGCTGCTCCCCCTGCTGTCTGGGGAGGCACAAACAGCGGCCCTGAGTCTGCCTCCGGCGTCGAGGAGCAGCTTCCCGGACGTGAGCCGGGCGGTGGTGGACAGGCTGGGGCTCACCGCCGAAGACCATCGCCGGCGGTTCCGGGCCTGTCGGCTGGCCACAACAGACCGACCATTCGCCTGGGCCCGGCAGCTGCGCGACGCGGCGGTTCGCTGGCTGCAACCGGGAACATCGGAGGGCGAGACGAAGCTGGTGGACAAGGTGGTGCTGGAACAGTTCACGGAGGGATTGCCAGCGGAGACGGCGAGATGGGTCCGGTGCCACCGGCCCGCAAGCCTGGAGGTAGCGGTGACGCTAGCGGAAGACCACCTTGCCGCTGGAGCAGGGGAACCCGGGGACGCCGGACGGAGGCCGAACAAACAGGCCCCAGTGCCGGCCCCGAGACGCCGTGTGCCGGCACCAGGGCAGGCAGAGCGGCTGCCGGCGCTGAGCCCCACTAACCCTTTCGCGGCGTTGGTGCCGTCCAGGGCAGCCGAGCCAAGTGGAGCCGCCCCCGAGCCACGGAGAGCAGCACAGACGCCGGGGCCGGAGTGCTGGAAGTGCGGGCAGCCGGGGCACCTGAGGAGGGATTGTCCGCTTATGGAAGTGGGGCAGGTGTTTCGTGTTGCTGGCGCCCCAGCACCCTCCCCCGGTCCAGGAGGGACATACAGTATTCCGGTAAGGACTCGAGGGGGTATACGCCAGGCGTTGGTGGACACGGGCTGCACGCAGACCCTCGTACACCAAAGCTTGGTTCGCCCCGGGGCATTGCTGGAGGCAGAATGGGTGGAGGTGAGGTGTGTGCATGGTGACGTTCACAGGTATCCCATTGTGCCGCTGTTATTAAAGTATAAGGGCAAAACGCATAGAGTAACGGCGGCGGTTAGCCCGCGCCTGTCGCACCCCCTGATTCTGGGTACCAATTGGCCGGGGTTTCATCAGCTACTGGGGCAGTATGCGGGGGTGCGATCACGACCGGAAGCGGGGTGTAGCGTGTGCGCGGCATTCAGCGGTGACGCGGGGTCGTCCGACACCGACTCCGGGGGGAGGAGCTGGCGGGTCCCTCACGGGACGTCCCGCCGGCCCCGGAAGTGTCCCCCATGGGCGATTTCCCACTGGAGCAGTCTCGTGACGGCACCCTACGCTCAGCCTTTGACCAAGTGATGGCTATTGATGGTCACGTGGTGCGCCCTGAGGCCGCGCAGACCTACCCGCGTTTCGTCGTATTAAACGACCGATTATATCGAGTGAGTCGTGACACTCAGACGGAGGAAACACACACCCAGTTGTTGGTGCCGCAGGGCCGCCGGGAAACGCTTTTCCAGGCGGCCCACTATAACCCCATGGCAGGGCATATGGGCTATGAGAAAACTCTGGAGCGAATAACGGCCCGATTTTATTGGCCGGGCATCCGAGCGGATGTGCGCCGCTGGTGCGCGTCCTGCCCGGACTGCCAACTTGTTAACCAGCCGGCCATACCGAAGGCGCCGCTGCGCCCTCTCCCCCTCATTGAGGTCCCGTTTGAGCGCATCGGCATGGACCTCATCGGGCCGTTTCACCGGAGTGCACGCGGCTACCGCTTTGTGTTAGTCCTGGTGGATTACGCAACGCGGTACCCGGAAGCAGTTCCGCTGCGCACCATCTCTGCAAAGAGTGTGGCGCAGGCACTGTTTCAGGTCATCTCCCGAGTCGGAATCCCGAAAGAGATACTGACTGACCAGGGCACGTCGTTTATGTCTCGTACACTGCGGGAACTGTACGAATTACTGGGCATTAAATCTATTCGGACCAGCGTCTACCACCCGCAGACTGATGGGCTGGTGGAGCGGCTGAATAAGACTTTAAAGTCCATGATTCGGAAGTTCATTAACGAGGATGAACGCAATTGGGATCACTGGCTAGACCCTCTGTTATTCGCAGTGCGGGAGGTGCCCCAGGCCTCCACGGGATTTTCTCCCTTTGAACTGCTGTTCGGCAGGAGGCCACGTGGGGTGCTCGACCTGATTAAAGAAAGCTGGGAGGACGGTCCGAGCCCCGCCAAAAATGAGATTCAGTACGTGTTGGACCTGAGAGCAAAACTCCACACTTTGGGGAGGTTGTCACGGGAGAATTTGCTCCAGGCTCAGCAGCGTCAGCAACGCCTGTATGACAGAGGGGCTAGGCTCAGGCAATTTTCACCGGGAGATAAAGTGCTTGTGTTACTCCCTACCTCCAGCTCGAAGTTGCTCGCCAAGTGGCAAGGACCCTTTGTGGTCACACGGCGAGTCGGGGACGTGGACTATGAGGTCGCTCGGTCGGACAGGGGAGGAGCCACGCAGATTTATCACCTCAATCTCCTCAAACTGTGGCGAGAGGTTGAAACCGCTTCTCTGGTGAGCTTGGTGAAGGAGAGAGATGAGTTGGGGCCGGAGGTGCCAAATTCTATCGTTCCCGCCTCCCTCCCTTGTGATGACCATCTCACACAGGCCCAGAGAGCGGATGTTGTCGCGTTGCAACAGCGTTTTGCGGACGTGTTCTCCCCCTGCCCGGCCGGACGTCCCTCATCGAGCACCATTTCGTGACGCAGCCTGGCGTGACGGTGCGTTCACGGCCCTACAGGCTCCCGGAGCACAAGCGAAAAATCGTGCAGAGGGAATTGGCGGAAATGCTGAGGATGGGAGTAATAGAAGAGTCGCACAGCGCCTGGTGTAGCCCCATCGTTCTGGTGGCGAAGAAGGATGGGTCTATCCGGTTCTGTGTCGACTATCGCAGGGTGAACGAAGTGTCACGCTTTGATGCCTACCCCATGCCTCGGGTCGACGAGCTCCTGGACCGGTTAGGCACGGCCCGCTTTTTCACGACACTGGACTTAACCAAGGGCTATTGGCAGATTCCCTTGTCTGCCGAGGCCAGGGAGAAAACGGCCTTCTCCACTCCGTACGGTTTGTACCAGTTCGTGACACTTCCGTTCGGCCTGTTCGGGGCCCCGGCCACTTTCCAGCGTCTCATGGACCGGGTACTGCGTCCGCACGCAGCGTATGCTGCCGCCTACCTGGATGACGTGATCATCCACAGCGACACCTGGGCGGAGCATGTGCTGCGGGTGGCCGCGGTCCTGGAGTCCCTGAGGGGGGCGGGGCTCACGGCCAATCCGAAGAAGTGCGCGGTTGGACGGAGGGAGGTGCAGTATCTGGGGTACCACCTGGGGGGCGGGCAGGTGCGTCCACAGGTGGAGAAGACGGCGGCTATCGCATCCTGCCCGCGCCCCAGGACGAAAAAGGAGGTGAGACGGTTCTTGGGGTTGGCGGGTTACTATCGTCGCTTTGTGCCGGGGTTTGCGCAGCTAACCAGCCCCCTGACCGATCTCACTCGAAAGGGTGCCCCGGATCTGGTCCAGTGGACGGGGCCGTGCCAGGCGGCGTTTGTGCAGGCGAAAAAGGCTCTCTGTGGGGAGCCGCTGCTTCACACTCCTAACTTTTCCCTCCCTTTTGTTCTGCAGACTGACGCCTCGGACAGAGGGCTGGGAGCCGTTTTGTCCCAGCAGGTAAGGGGGGCCGACCGCCCTGTCCTATACATCAGCCGGAAGCTGGCAGAGCGCGAGCGCCGGTACAGCACCGTGGAGAAGGAGTGCCTGGCCATCCGGTGGGCGGTCGGCTCCCTGCGCTATTACCTCCTGGGACGCTCATTCACCCTCTGTTCGGACCACGCCCCGCTGCAGTGGCTCCACCGCATGAAGGATGCCAACGCCCGGATCACCCGGTGGTATCTGGCGTTGCAGCCCTTTAAGTTCAAGGTGATCCATAGGCCGGGGGCGCAGATGGCAGTGGCCGATTTCCTCTCTCGCTCGCGGGGGGGGAGTTGGCTCGGCCGGACGGCTCCCCGGCCTCGAACGGGCGGTGGGGGTGTGTGGCGGAGGCGTGGCCCCGGGCGCAGCTGCAGGGGAGGAGTGGAGCGGAAGGCTCAACGGGGCGGCGCCGCGAGGCTGGTAAGAACAGCTGATATTGTTTATGGACTGATGATGGTCTCCTCCGCTGTGTTTATAGTGAGACGAGGAGGAGCGGCCAGAGGAGATCAGCTGGGCTCGAGCTGTCAGACGGTGTGACTGAGTCAGCTGTCAAAATACAAATATACCAATAAACGAGGAAGTTGGCTATACCTGCCTGTGTGTGCGTGTGTCTGTGCTGGGTGTACTCTACAGTCATGTTTTCCATGTGGTTCAAATACTTATTTTACTCACTGAAAATCACTTTACAACTTTCATGTAATGTGTTTTCTTATTTTCAGTTTGCGTCCTCTCCACATCAAAATGAAATGAGCACAATAATCAGATTTTATGCCTTATGCTGATTTTATTTGGAGGTTAGCAAACGCACACAGGCGGCAGCACTGGGGACCAGTTTGTCCCACTGATGAAAGAGGGCAGCACATTATTCTGGACAGGAGGCCTGCAAACTGAATGCACCTGGTTTAAGACACCAACAACAAGGATGTGAATACTCTGTACCACTGTGTACTTCATGGTTGTAGATGATAATGAAACATCCCCACACAATATAAACTTTCTAACACTGCTCTATTTTCAGCAGCTTACCACACCTGCTTCCACAGGTGTTTTTAAGCTTCCTCTAAACTGCAGCTTATACACGTTTCACCAGCTGCCTGTGCGACTGCTCACCTTGGACGAGCGCTTTCAGACAGACGTGTTTCCCGACTGGCACATGCATGACAGTCCCAGCAGGGAGCTGCAGTCTGAACAGGTAAGTGTTGTGGTTCACCTCAGTCTTAGACACCAACACACAATCCCGATACAAGAGAGCTGTAAAACAGGGAACAGCAATGTGGTCTCCTATGTATCTTTTTTTTGTCTGAGCACACAGCATGCAGGAAGCGAGTGGAGCGATGTGAACGGGCTACACGGGCACATCTGTGATGCTGTTGGAACCCACCTCGGTCCTTTTGGCGTACAAACGTATTATGGGACTCCAGAGGTTGACCGAGACTCGCCCATTTTCCGTGAGCACCTTTGCGTATGCTAACCTGGATCTTTCCCACGGAGAAAGCAGTGTGAACTGTAGATGATAACAACTTACCAACTTAAGGACAACAGCAAGACAGTGCATGTTCATTTTACAGAATCTGTTTTCAAAGATGTTGTTCACCTGCAACATTTCCTCAACTTCATCAGAAAGACCTGCAAAAGCACGACAGTCGATTTTACAAACAAAAGCATTTATTCATAAGCTTGAAACTCACATTAGGGCTGTGTTGACAGAAGCTGTGCTAAAAGCTGGAGGAACAATCTCCACAGGAGAAAAACTGGGGCTTCCACAAGTAACAGCACCTAAAAGTCTCATTAGACATTCAAGTAGTTCTGGCACCAAATCAAACCATAATCTGATTTTAGCTAAATCTGGATACCACCGATTCACACCTTTATAAAACTAAGCAAAGACCAAGACTACAACCCCAGCTTTCAGATCCTCTATGGTGAAATGCTCAATGACAGCAGAAAGAGAAACATCTGCTGTGACTTGTGAGGGGTGAAGAGAACAGAGAGTCAGCAGCAACACATGTGGGAGCTAACAAATATCTCTGTAGGACTTCCACAACTGAGGAATGCTTGGGAGAAAGCTCTTGTGTAGCTGTGGTCAAACGTTTACACGAAACTCAGGCTCACTTTGGGCTTTTAATGATTTCTTGGAACGGCTCTTTTCCCAAAGTGGACTGAAAAAAAAAACAAGAATTGAGCACACAAATCTAAATCCATTTTGTATTTTCTCTCACCAAAGTCAAACAGATACATACAGGCTTAAATACTGTACATACATCCCAACTAATACTTGACTAAATGTCTCTCGGTATGTTGAACCTTGAACAGTTCGTTTAAATTGGTCAGTTTTACACATATTTCAATACAGTTCAGCTCGGAGCTTTGGGAAGGTTAATGTTAACCTGCTTTATGCAGAACAACAGCTGGGAACAGGTCTGGGATCACTGTCCTGTGCTGTTTTAACAGTCTAGCTGAAGAGTTCAGAGGTCGTCCTTCTTCTGCACCAGGACCACTGGCAGCAAAGCAGCCCCACAGCATGATGCTACCACCACCATGCTTGACAGCTGATCTGCTGTTCTTGGGGTGGCGATAGCTCAGGAGGTAGAGCGGGTCATCAGCTGATCTACCGACGTGCCCATCAGAGTACGAATGCGTATCGATGTTAGACAGAAAGAACTTAAGCACAGAAAAAAGGTGCTTGTACGGGTGAATGAGGCGTGCTGTATGAAGCTCCCGCTCTCGTCAGTGAAGCTCAGTGTTTGCCTCATGTGAGTTATTGTAGTTTGCTTTTCATAGATGCACCTATGCTGCCGGCCTCGCAGCAGGGCCACGTTGATGACCCCAGGAGCCTTTTACAGCTGAGGTGCTTTTTTAAAGTAGTGTATCACACTTCCAGCCCAGCAGCTCTTTAAGGCCTCTTAGCTTAGTGCCACACCTTACACAACCTTACCTCCTTACACAAGTCTGCTATGACTGACAGGCAGATGATAACAACAGTTAATGAAAATGTTTCTGTGTTTGCCAGATTGGACAGCTGAGAGTTGGGCTTTCATTATGTAGAGTGAAAGACTGCTGCAACGACACAGCGCAGTGAGCTGCGTAGGATCGATGCAACACAGCAATACTCACGCAAATGAATCATGTAGGACATTTTCCCCAGCAGCACCTCCAGTCGAAGAACACCTGCCTTTAGATCGACAGTGGTACAGCCTGAGCTGGGTATCTGACACATACAGATGGTACAGTTACTGTGTGCACAGCTGGTACTGGTTGTACTGGTTAGAGGAATGAAAGCAACACAGGACACAAGTGGAGCTCAATAACAGTCAGGGCCTGGATGCACACAGTGTAGAGGGGGGCATGTGAAGAGCTCCATCTTACAGCACATCACAGGTGGAGCGATTACCTTTCTTCTGGTATAAACAACCAGATGAACAGTCCCATCAGTCTGGAACCAATCGTACCTGCAGCAACAGGAAGAAGAGGATATTGTCACTCGAGAGCTTCCTTATCAGATGTGTTCTTTAGGTGCTTACTGTCCTTCATACCGAGGGCGAGAGTCTTTGTCTGGAAGAGGAGCCACTGAAGTCGGTGAGGCGAGGCCAGTCACAGGTGGGGGAGGGAGGATTGCTATGGCAACAGACGAAACCATGTTAGGTGCAGCAAAAACTTTCAGTTGGAATAACAACAACACATCATACTAAACATGAACATACACAGCATGACTCGATTATATTTATGTGTATTTATTACAGATGTGCCAATAAACTGGTCACAGCTGCACACATGTTTATTTTTTAAACACAACTATGGCAGCACCAGGATGTAGCGTCACAGCAGTTTCTACATGTATACTTGTGAGAAGCCCCCCGACCCCCAGCTTCATAGACTTAGTTAAAGGCTGTGTTTTTCTGCAGAGTGCAGACGGATGTAAATCTCTGTGTACCTCTAACAGCTGTGGCGGCCTTGGTGCTCATCCTGCCCACCAGGCACTCTTTCAGCATAGACTCATAGTTGACCCAGCGATGGACCTGCTCACAAACACACATATACACTCATCCAAGTCAGTCTCACCCCAACCAATCACAGCAGATGGCCCCGCCCCTCCCTGAGCCTGGTTCTGCTGGAGGTTTCTTCCTGTTAAAAGGGAGTTTTTCCTTCCCACTGTCACCAACGTGCTGCTCGCAGGGGGTCATATGATTGTTGGGTTTTCTCTGTATCTATCAATGTATTGTCTACCTTACACTATAAAGCCCCTTGAGGCGACTGTTGTTGTGATTTGGCGCTGTGTAAATAAAGCTGAATTGAAGCTTTGAGCTTACAAATCTATATCATACTGCAAACACAAGTCCTGCTGCAGTCTTACAGACTTATTTTCACCTCTGCTCAGCTTTGCCCGTTAGCGAGGCCCCACTTTCACACATGAAGCCAACAGGAGAGTCGTTTTAATTGACTCTGAGACTGATAAAGAATTATGTCACAGTCTGACGCTAAAATCGAAGCTAAAGACATCGGCATGACTAAACAAACACATCCTGCCTAGAATAAAGAGCGGACATGTGAAGTCGACTCTGTAACTGATTTATTGATTCCAGTGATGCTTGATAGGAAAATGAGCCTACAGGCGCTTCGTGTGCACACTGGTAAACCAATTAAACGTTTACCACTTATCATAAATCTGCAGATGCATTCCAGACTATACAATACACTGCATTTACTTTTTGCTTCCATACCTGGTCAAAGAGTTCAGTTCCATCTACTCCTGCTGCCTTCATCAGCTCCTCTTCTCCACCAGGGTGGTAGTCCATGTAGGCACTCACATTATACACCATACCTGTCAAAAACATCCACACAACGTTTTGTGTATTAAGTTATGTTTGTCCTCTGCAGACAGAAACAGATAAAACAGTATAAAACGATTGTTCAATATTATCATATTTTTAATTAATTATATTTTTAAAATTACACAGAATACACCCAGAAAACCCAGAAAGGTCCCACATCGTGAGCGTGCACACTCTGCTGAGAAATCAGCTGTGTTATCAGTGACTGGGCTCCTCACACAGAGAGACCTCGTCCTCAAAGGCTGCAGCACGTCTGCTTTACCTTAAATGAAACAGCTTCAAACTAGGGCGGGCCATGTTTATCGAATACACGCGAGGTATCGCGAGTTTTCCACGTGCGACGCATAAATGGCTTTATCGTAACCATTGAGTATACGTCGCCATGGCAATATTAAGCTGTCTGCATGTAATTCACTGAGTTTTTTTTCTCCCACACACTGCAAATGCATCACTAATTCCCCCCTCCCAACCTGACACACTGCACTCAGCATGCGTGTTTATTTACTACAACATCGGGAAAAACATGGTGGCGGCGGGAGTTTGAGACTCGCTGTCGTTTGGATTGCACCAGTCAGGGGTTTTTGTAGTCGCCGTCTACACTTTTGTTTAGACAGTTTTTGTTTAAGCACAAAGGAGCACATTTTTAATTTCAGTTGTTTTGTCTGATGAAACATTGCTCGATGCCCTTTTCTGTTGCCGTGATCTTTTGTTAAATATCAGTGTTGTTGACGACAGAAAGAGACGAACAGCATCGTCACTGTGACAAACCTCTGTGGCAAACCCTCATAATGTCCTCCTGATACCACGGGACCCCACTTCATTTGACTGTTTTTAAAAGTATAAATTGCCAATCAATTCAGTGTTACAGCTTAGTTTTACTTAAGACCAACACATGACCACAAAATTTACCCTACATGTTACATTTTGGGCACTGTTTTGACACTATTTTTTTATTCCATTTCAAATGTATGTCTCATTTATACAAAATGTTTCTTTGTTTTTGGGTAAAAAATAAATTAAATCATTAGTTATTGTGATTATCGTTTCACAACCAGAGTCGGCTGCTTTAACAGATGATCACAGACGGGTTTATGTCAAAGTTAATGTAGGAAACTGTTTTTAAACTACAAGTTTTTTACTGGCAGCAAATAATCACATCTGTTGTCCTCTGGGCTCAAAAATGCCCCCGTTTGCTTTGACTGTTTATAAAGCAACAAGTACTGTCAAAGGAAAATAGTTTTTATATAATGTGATCAGCTTCATGAAATGTATTCTTTTATTGATCACTAAGCAAATGTCTACGTGACGTTTGACATGTACTTTTGTGTGATAAACAACTAATAGCTTCCTCTTTCTGTAAGAACATACAGACTTAGAAAAAGGGGAACCTCAGCTCAGAGTTCTTAGAATAAGAAGCTATTTGTACACACACACACACGCACACACGCACGCACACAGACAAGTATAAATAAAGCACGCAGACAGTGATGAGACGCAGGTCGTGCGTCCATGACTGCTCTCGCGAGTAAAGACAACTGCAGTGTTTGTGTTTTCTAACTCAGGCGTCTTAGCTGAAGAACTACGGGGTGATTTAGAGAAATCCCCTGTCAAGTATAAAATATCATTTCTGTGTTTCAAGGTTTTATTCATCTTTATTCCAACTCATTGCCTGACAGTTTTCTATATTTTGGCATGGTAGGAGGGCATGAGTCTGAGTGAAGGCAAACTTTCATGAGGACAAAGGCGTGTCCATATTTGACCCAAGTGCAGGAGGAAGCTCAGGTTTTTTCCTCTGCACTGGTCCCATCATGGACAGCATTCTTTCTGCAGTTGCAGGCCAAGGGGCATATACAGTAAACAAGCTGTTACAGGTGATTGTTTTCTTTTGGAAACCTGCAATGTTAGGGACAACTCGTGTCCTGACTGCAGGACAGACGGTTTGCCATCGCACACGAGCATGTTCCATGTACAGCTGGACCTGCATCACATGCTGCCCATGTTTTTGTCTCAAAGTTCCCTGGTTTACTTGGATGTTCTGTTGGACAGAGTCCTCTGAAGGGGACTTGGTGCTCATACAGTCACATCAGTACCAGGATCTTACATCACAGCAGGAGAAACACCCACGTGTTCCATACACCTCACAGGAGCACGTTTGTGTCATGAACGACGATCATCTATTGTGTCTTTATCAAGAAATTATGTCCTTTTTGTGCTTCTATGATTAATCTTGTGTCACCTTTAAAACTTCTCTACCAGACTCAGGATGTCATAAACTGGCCGTAGCGACTCTACTGCATGCACGGCAGTAAGAATCAACACACCCACATATGCCTACAGCTGCATTCGGTCCATTTTTCTTCCTCTCTTGTTGTCCCTCCTTGTTCATCATCGAGTTGGCTGTAGAGCAGGTCATCTGCTAATTGGATGGTTGTTGGTTCAATCTCTGTGTGCTCTAGTCTGGAGTTCTTACCAAGGTGTCCTTGGACAAGCTCCTCAGACTACCATGTCCTGGATGCCTGAGAACCTACTTGAACATAGTTCAGATTCTTCATCACTTTTCTTCACTTCATAGCCTTTTTCCACTTCTGCAGGTGGCTGATGTGCTTTTTCAGAGAAAGGGTAGCATGTGCTCTAAATATTGACAATATTTTCTATATCTTCTAACCCTGGATCTTCCTGAACATTGATTCTCCCTCCTCATTATACTAGAGGACAATATGTGCTTTGTCCTACTGGTCATTGCTTTGCACAACATGGTAAAAAAAAAAAAAAAAGTATGCTCACAAGCCTCCACTGCAATGGAGACCTGTGAGCTACTTTCTGTGTATGTATTATTGTAGAGTCTACCTTACAATACGAAACACTTTGATGCGGCTGTTGTTGTGATTTGGCGCTGTATGAATAAAATTTAATTGAATGTAGAGCACCTGCCTCCTCATTGTGCTGCCTGTTGTGGTTGTTATGACCAGTGCTTGACCCCACACATCAGTGATCCAAGATCAAAGATGTTTGAAAGCAGTATGGTGTGAAAATACGGCTCTTTGCAACACTTTGTACTTTGGGGTCATTTTTGTCCCCGAGGACAAGAGATGTCATAAAATCCAATAAAAATCCCATAAATAACTCAAATTACTTAAAACTTATTCCAGTCATGCATAGTATAGTAATGAATAACTTCTGTTATTTTCAGACCATCTGATGAATAAAAAACACATTGTTGAGAGCAAAACATTTCTTTAGAGGACAAAAATGTCCCAAGGACAACACAAGGGTTCAAATAAAACATTTCAGTTCATTCTGATTTTTAGTATTCAAAGTAGAAAAACATACTGAACGGTGAATTTGAATGAGTACAGCTGTGCAATGTTGGGCCGTGTATGGTTGAAAATCACATTTGTTTTTGGAGGTTATTCAAGCATAATGTGATATATCGTGTATCGTGATCAGAGATGGGCAGTAAGGGATTACTATTGCAAAAACGGTAATTAGATTACTGTTACTTTCCCGTAGGAACGCTGCGTTACTGCGTTACTAAAACCGTGATTTTTTGCGAGAATGTCTCACGACAGTGACGTAAGCGAGTGCGCTGTTAGTGACAACAGCTGTGTGCAGGTCAACAGTATATTATATATCAAGTGCGGAGAGAGTATGAGCGTGCAGCGTTTAAAGCGTGGAAGTACTGACCTTACTTTGAGTTTGATTCCATAAAAAGTGACAAAAACATTAGTGTCCGCTGTGTGTGGGAAGAAAACTTCTTTTTACAGCAAAAAACCCCTAAACTTCCAACAAGCACCAAGTAGCTACGACGTGATGGGAAACTCACAGAGTCAGCGGATTCTTCCACTGACTGGGGCACACCTGCACCAGGGTAACCCTCCGCCTACCCCACTCCTGCTTTACAGGTGAAAATAGAGCAACAGGACCGCTGAGTCTTTGACTTTATTTATTTTCTGCTGTGTTTTACTTGCATCTATTTAGTTTGTTATATTTGTTTGTTATATAGTTTGTCAAAAGGACAAACTTCACAAAGAGAAGTGCCATGAAGTTTTCTCCAAGAAGAAAGGCCTCTGCAGACTCACCTCGTATGCAGGTCCAGCAGTCCTCTCTCCTGTTGTGTTTCTGCAGTTCTTCCTCAGTAACTTCAATGAGGCGCCCTCTGAGTCCAGTAAGATCTTTTCCACTCTTGGCAAACCGAATCCAGTCCATGAGACTGTGGCCCGGCTTCAAGGCCACCTTTGAGGGCAGAGTCATGAAAAACGTTAGGAACTCATTTTAGACAGCAGAGCTCTGGAGCTTTGTGGAAACTCAATTCTGCTAATATGCCAGATGTTAATGGTGTGACGTTCAAAACCCCAAAACTCTGAACGAATAAATACTGCTCTCTAATGCAAAACATAAATCTGCCATAACAGCAACCAGCCTTGTTACTTCACATACACAACAACTGATGCATCCCACGAAGTAAGCTCTGACATTATTTTACGTTTACTTATTTAGCAGAATATTTGCTTCCGCCACTGAAAAAACAACAAACAAAAAACATTTTCACTTGGAATAAATTAGGCACGAACTCGTTGTTGGATTCGACATTTCCAGGTAACAACGTGAAATCTTGATTTATGTGGCAAAAAGTGTTCAGTTGTTCTCATGAGCGGAAACGACGACACAGGTGTCTCCAGATTACTCGGTTATTTCCACTGCGAGTTTATTTTATGTGCCAGGTTTAACTCACTGACTTATTTGCCAGAATAGACGCTCTGATTTATTAGAATAATAAAGAGAAATGTAAAAAAGTCAATTGCGCAATAAATATTTTGGAGGATAATTAATAAATGGTTACAAAAGTAAAGAAGGGAGAAAGCGCATCAACACAATAAAGTGTGTAACGGGCGTGTGCGGGATTCACGGGTGTTCGGGGGATCCAGAAAGTGAGTTACCTTGTTCCTCCCGGACTGGCCGGACGGAGAGACCCGCTGCTGGGAGCTCGGTGCCGGAAAGGACTGGGTCGGGACGTTTAACATGTTGTGAACGGTCCGGAAGCAGCCCCACTTTCGTACAAACCCTGTTTAACCAGCGGCAGTTTAACACAGTCACACACAAACACCAGATATCACAGTGCTGTCATGCTGTCGGCGGTGCTAGCTCAGGACACATCTCGGCCGAGCAGTGCTGCTAGGCTAAGCTAGGCTAACAGGTCAACGCACTTTAGAGGCAAATCTAAAGAGTGAGACTTCGACTGAAGTTAATGTTCGCGAGTTGAAAGAAATATTTAATAATCAAATCCAGTAGTTCTCCTTATCCAGGATGTAAGTGCGAACTACCGCCTGGCTTAAGCTTCCGTAAATAAATAAGACTACATTTGTCGCGCAGTCTGACGACAAAGTCAACACGTGAAGTCATCATTTTGCGACGTCGCTGCTTCGCGACCAAACAAGTTTAACGTGAGCAGATTATGTTTCTGTATTCTCACGATAAAAATATGAATTTAAGAAAATGCTCGATTATGATCCACCAGATTCTCCCGTGTCTGGGAGCTGAGATCGTCATAAGTTTGTGGACTTCCCAGTTGTTTAGCTTCTTTCTAGACTTCAAATCAGCTAAAGCCTCTTTCCAGTCTTATTGACCGAAGCTCCTGAAGTGCAAAGTCATTGATGCTGTTCATACTTTTAAATAAATTCATTTCAGCTCAGTTTTATTTTTATAATACCAAATCACAGCAAGAGTTGCCTCCAGGTTTATATTGTATGACAAGGATCTTACAATAACGCAGAGAAAACCCCAACATGGGAAGGAAGGAAAACTCCCTTTTAACAGGAAGAACCTTCCAAACAGGCTCAGTGAGGGGCAGCAATCTGCCCCAACTGTAAACATTGTAAAGTGAGTTTCATCTTTCATCAATTATTTATGTTTTGTTGCTTTCATTTTGTATTATGTGTATTTTTCTAAATCTATAGTTTATTCTTCAATTCAGCTGCCAGTGCACTAATCAATGCGATTTGCCAGATGTTTCCAACACAACTCTTTCATATGAACACGCTTGTATCAGTAAACCCCAGGTTAACTTAGCAGGCTGATAACCAGCATCATGCAACCACTTATGCTGACCGTCAGTGTTAGGGGAAGTGCTTCCAGGTCATGAAAAGATACTCTGGATATGTTGAACTTGCTTCATAGTACAGAAGGCTCAGAGTGAACTCTAGAGTTACCCAGATCAGCCCACACCCTGCCTTGTAGTACAGGCCTCAGGGTTTCCTCGGGGTGCTGCAGTTAAGACATTTACAAACAACATCAGCAAAACATTGGTGACACTGTGTGATGTCTTTGGTAGGGTGTCACTACAGAACAAGAGGAGCTGCATCAAAAACAACACTGATTACACCACTCAGAAAAACTCACAACAATTCAAAGTTAGCTTGAATAGAGTCGGGTTAGTTACACTGACATGAAAACACACCTGAAATTAAACTACTGAAAAAAGTGACAACAGATGAACTATTTCCTCCCTCACTCCCGCCGTCATCTTCCTCCTCCTCCTCGTCTGAATCTGTCTGGTTGTCAGCTGGCATTGTGGAAACGTGGCATCTTCATTTCAGTGTTACTACTGTGCACTCTAAAAGACATCATGGCAGCTGGAGGGTTTGCTTTTCAAAGGCAAATCTGCTAAGAGGATTAATGGACAAGAGTGCCCAACCTTCACAATAAAAGTCTGTATGTACCTAGTCAAGACTCACGGAGAGAGGGTTGGTAGAGAGCAGTAACATTAGTTTTTCTCAAATGTTAAAACACAAAAGCCAATCCTGTAACCCAAATGACCAGTAGTCCAAACACATTTACTAAATGTAGCCACCATATTCCAGTACCATAAACACATGTCACATGAAGACACAATTCACAAAACACAACCCTCTGTACTCATAAATCTAAACACATTTTTCCTTGCTAAAACACATGTTGCAAAAGAACTCTGTTCATATCCTCAAATGAAAGCCCATGTGATGCAAAATGCTTGCCACAGTCACCAATCTTTGAACACAGGGAACACACCTGGCGTCAGTCACTACACACAATGACTCAAAATTGAAGACACTTGTTGCTAATGCTGTACCCACATGTAAAAGCAAGTTCAGAGTGCACAGTATGCTGAAGGTTCCAAACAAACACAATGGATGAAGGCAGAGTCAGGGGAAGAGGAATTTGATGCAGAGGAGGGAGAAGAGCTGGCCCTGGAAGAAGAGGAGCAGGCCAATGAGGAAGAGGAGTTCAAATGAGAGGAGGAAGAGGAGAGACCAACGAGGAAGAGGAGGAGGCCAACATGGGAGAGGAGAAGGTCCAGGAGGGAGAGCAAGACAACCTCGCACCATCATTACGAACGAGATGCGAGCAACAGCTCAGCGACATGATGCCGCACAGTGATTGTGGTGTGTGTGTGTGTAAATAAAAAAACTTCACACCCTGTTCATGTTTTCAAGATTACTGTTGTGTGCAATAGATTCTGTTTTTGCATTGAGTTGTGTTACAGTAGTGTACGTACATGCAGGATTTTCTATAGATTTATACTACTCATATGAAACTCACAAATCTAAATGCCTAATCCTCTGCAGAGATCTACGACGATCCGTTACTGTATAGCTTCTAAAATATGCATTGGCAGTTATGAAACAAAGAACCTTCTCACAAATTGAGCATTGTGTTTTCAATTGTTTTGCTGTAGTGTGTAATGCTGTGTATAGTGTTTACAGTTTTGACAGCTTCGAGCTGCTCTCTTGGTGTGGGAGTTTGAGTTTTGCAGTGGGAAGGTGTGGTTGTGTTTATGTAGCTTTAGAGAAGGGTGTTGTGTTTGGACATTGGGGGACCTGGTGGTAACGTTTGTGAAATGTGTTTTAGCATTTGAGAAAAACTGTAATGATGGCCAGGCTTCATGAAGGGTATTATTGAATATTTCAGTGAACTCAGACTGTTTGGTAAAATTTAGTCTAAAACTATAATATGTGTTCTTGGTTCATTACTTACTTGGACTTGTGTTATTTGATATTTTTCTTGCTTTGCTGCTGGGTTTGCAGTAACTCATACCCCAGCACGTGGAACTTTAGTGGGCATCGCTACAAGTTGTTCCTCCCTGCAGGTGGCAGCAGAGGTCAGCAGTAATGACTGGACGGGTTACATCAGTCTTTGTGGAAGTTATTTTGTTGCCTGGATGGATCAACACAGAGTTAGAGCTCAGTTATGTCAGATTGGAGTGGACATGTGTTAGGATGTGAAAGTGTTTGTTGCCTCTCCATGTTCATGTTTCAGTCCTTTTTCTTTAAGTTCTCCGTCTGCTTGAATCTCGTGCGTGTATTCTCTGTTAGTCCCAACTGTACTATATTTAAATGAGACTTTTGCTAATGTGCATGTCACGTAGCAAATAATAACTATAATTTTCCTTTCTATCTCCTTTTTTGTCAGTCCTTCTATGTGTCCCTGCCTCCTAGCAGATCCAGCTGAAGGCCAGATAATTACAATTTCAAACCCATTTGCCAGATCATTACCAGCTAATCCCATGTTTGGTCTGATGAGTCACGCGCCTCATTTGCCACGGTGCATGCAGCTTGGGGCCCTTTCACAAACACTGGCCAAGGACCACCAGCCTGCCCTCGGGGGCCACCACACTGCTTGGGTTGGGCTTGGGATGGTGGGTTGTTCCTCCACGACAATCAGGGATCCATTACAGAGGAAATTAAGGGACAGAGTGTAAATCTAGACAAGATTTTTAAAGATTATTGGGCCTTGTGTTTGTGTGCAGACTAAAGCGATGCACTTAAGCAATCATTCTGTGAGGATAAAAGTCCCATTCATTTTTATCTATCCCTTTGCATGCTCTCTGTTCATACATCTTTCTGCACTCTGCACTATAAATTAATGTTGTAATCACTCCCACATCTCATAGGTCCCTCCTGTACCTGCTACTTGTCTAGAACATGCGCTACCAGCCATATTGGTTAACGATTAACAGGAAGTTGGTCTAATGCAGATAATGAAGGAGACCTCCATAGTGTTGGTATACAAATAAAAATTTATGCAAGCTGTGTACGAATTGGGAAACGTAAAAATATCAGTCAGAAATCGTTTTTCGGTTATTGCAGTCTGAAAAGATTGAAATATGCAGTTTAATTTACCAAAAATATTTAAGCTCTGAATTATGTAGTAGTGTTTGGAATGTGACCCTTGTGCTGAGGATTAAAGTTTCACGAATGAACACACGAGTTGTTAGGGTTTGTATGCAGTGGCTAATAGCTGATAAAATCAGCAGCTGATTCTCATGATGCCACAGACAATGAGAAATAAGGAGATGCTTACAGCTGCTGTTTGTGGCAGTTAGTGCATAGACAGACAGAACAGAGAAAAAACCCAGAAGACATGAAGAGAAGTGGGCTGTTACGGCCAAATCTTTTTAGTTCAGTTTCAAAAACACTCCAGTATCTGAATTTGAATAAAGAGAAACTTCACATTTCACTGAGCAAAACCTAAGACAGCAGAAAACATGAGGTCAAAATGCACAGCACTGCTACGGACTACTGCAAGGTTCAAAATCATTCCTGGTGGCGTCATCACCGTACATGTCTCATTAGACATGGTGATTTGTTAGTTTGTCATATATAATCATGATGATAGTATATTTTTGATGTTTGATTGATTTGATTGAATCTTTATTTTGAACATGTTGAAAAAGTATTAAAAAAATAGAATTAAAAGAGACAAATGAACAAAGCAAACAAAAGGAAAACGAGCAACCACAACTCCAAATAACGTCCATGTTCAAAAAGGAGCAGGAAGAAGCATAAGCTTATTTAATCCCACCCCTTTTCCACTATCTAGTATCAATAGACTACAGAAATACCTCCTTGCAATTACATTATATGTTATGTGTAATTTTTTTTTTTTAATATATACACATATATGTTTCTATCTATCCATACATACGTATATACACACATACGCACATATACACATTTTCAATAACCCCATTAACACCTCAAGGATACACAACCTACAATTATATATATATATATATATATATATATATATATATATATATATATATATATATATATATATACATAATTGTATATACGGTGGTCCCCGTGGTAATCGGAGCACTAGGTGCGGTGACTCCCAAGCTAGGCGAGTGGCTCCAGCAGATCCCGGGAATAACATCGGAGATCTCTGTCCAGAAGAGCGCAGTCCTGGGAACAGCTAAGATACTGCGCAGGACCCTCAAGCTCCCAGGCCTCTGGTAGAGGACCCGAGCTTGAAGGATAAACCGCCCGCAGGGGCGTGCTGGGTGTTTTTTATATATATATATATATATATATATATATATATATATATATATATATATATATATATATATATATATATATATACCCATACCAACAAACCCGTGCATGCGCACACACATGAAAATATTAGACAAGAACACCCTATCAAATCTCTACCTTTTCCCTGTACCCTGTAAAAACCATATCCTTAAACCGCTTTTTAAACTGCGCCATGCTTGGACATTGCTTCATATCTTTACTTAGTCTGTTCCACAGCTTCACTCCACACACAGAGATGCAAAAACTTTTTAATGTTGTACGGATACGAGGATGTTTTAAATTTAATTCCCCCCTCAAATTGTATCCCCGTTCCCTTTTAGAAAACATTTTTAGAATATTGTCAGGAAGCAGGTTATTTATTGCTTTATATATAATTTGTGCTGTGAGAAAATGAACCAGATCTGTGAATTTTAGAATTTTTGATTTTAAGAATAGTGGATTTGTATGATCTCTGTAACCAGTTTTATGGATTATCCTTATGGCCCTTTTTTGTAATATAAAGATTGATGATAGCGAACATTTGTAAGTATTGCCCCAAACCTCTGCACAGTAATTCAAATACGGTGCAATCAGGGAACAATAGAGAATGTGGAGTGATTTGTGGTCCAGAATGTGTTTTACTTTACTCAAGATTGAGACACTTCTTGAAATTTTGTTATGTATATGATTTATATGAGACTTCCAGTTTAATTTATCATCTATAATCACACCAAGAAACTTATGTTCAAGTACTCTTTCAATTTCCACACCATCTACATGAATCTGCACTTGTGCATTTCTAAGGGAATTCCCAAATAAGATAATTTTAGTTTTACTTAGATTTAGCGATAGTTTGTTCCTGTTAAACCATTTTTTAATTTTGCACATTTCTGAAGTAATTGTATCCAGCAGCTCCTTTAGATTCCCCCCAGAACAAAAAATATTTGTGTCATCTGCAAATAATACTAATTTTAATATATCAGATGCCTTACAAATATCATTTATATAAATAATAAATATTTGTAAGGCATCTGATATATTAAAATTAGTATTATGTTCAGTGGATGTACCTGATCTAGGCTCAGCTGTCACATCTCAGCAACAGGAAATTACCAGTTGTTCTGGACAATTGTTTCCTGATACTTCTTTCACAACTAGCCATCTGTGCCAGGACTTTGCCGAGCAGCTGTGAAGATAGGCAGCATGAAAAACACTTGGTTCGTACCAGAAGCCGCCCATTAGACCTTAATGTCCATCTGCTTCTTCCTCTGCATGTTCA